AAAGTTGGGTGCCTTGGAAAATGGTAGTTTCAAAGACATAACTAGGAACTTTTCAAAGAAAGATACTTTCAGCTAGAGATAGAGAGCCCTTGACTATAGGAACTAGAATTAGTTAACAGCAGAAAGAGTAGGAAAGCTTCTGAAACTGTAGCGGGCCATAGGAAGGTAAAGAAGAATGTAATTCAGGTCAGGACCAAAGAAAAGGACACCAAAGATCAGTAACACAACAGCGACTGATTCTAGTTGCCCACAGTGGGGAAATATATTCAGTTTCTGGTTAGGAGGGTTGAGTGGTTAAAATGAGAAGCACTCTTGTATAATACATTTGTGCATATGTGCTTACGCTGTCTAGTTATCTCAGGTCAGTTTCTCTGGCAGTGGGGGGCAAGGTGGTTATTTGGGTTCAATACCTGTGAAAGGAAAGGAGAGGAAGCAGGATTGATCAGAGGAAGAAGAACTGTAAGGGCTCACCACAGCCTTGACCAACCTGGTGAGAAATGACTGGTCCTTATACCCCTACCTCATTCAGTCACCTGACATAGGCTCCCCTGGAAAAGGCTTGACCTCAGACAGAGGAGGCTGCTCTCTGCAGGCAAAGCAGACCCTGAAGGTGCTGACAGCTGGACACTGTCTGCTGACAGTCCTTCCTCCAGCTGGGTTATAAGCCCTTCCTTGAAGGGGAACCTACCTGAGTAGCGCATCTCTTTACCTACCATAAGCCTACTGTAAGCCTTTCCAGAGTTAATATAGTATTTTTCTTATAATTCTCAAAATATAAAAGGTATTATATTTACAGTAGAGAACTCCATATATTAGTGTTGAATACAAAATTACTGTTAGAATTTATCTCAATGGATTATCAGGTAGTTGATATATTTCTGTGCAAGCTAGAATTACTGATCATACACTTATTCATCCCACAAACATCTATTAACTATTTATTGCATACCAGTCTCTAGAAATTGAAATATAAATAAGTATACTTTTACCATAAACTCCTAGAAGTCAGATTCTAGTGGGGAGGTCGATAAAATAGACAAATAATTAAAGTGGTAAGTTAAAAAGATAGGTCTAAACACAGTGCTAAAGAGGTTAAAGGGACATGAAGAAGAAAGCACTTAGCTATGTCTACAGACATCCTCCTGGAAGAGCAGATGTGGGCCTTGGCTGTCAGAGGACAAGAAATATTTGCATTACAGGAAGAGCAAATTGTATGTATAAAGACTCAGAACAATGAAAAAGCATTGCACAGATTGAGCACCACAGATAAATTGACATGACCAAAGCACAGGCGGTGTTTAAGGAGGGACTGAAATATGAGACTGGAAATATATCTATATATACATCTGTGTGTAACTATCTCATTAATTTATTAATGTTATTTTTTTACTGTATTTTATCTTGCCAGTGTTTGTCAAATATATTTAAACACAGTTTGTGGGGGCTTTTTGTTTTTTGCTATAACATATTTCTGCAAGACATTCTTTGTGAAATGTTGAAAGACAGTAGTGACCGAGCCTGCCGGATTATCTGGGACATAAGCTCGAACTGGATCTAGTACCTGTGAACAAGTGTATTCTGACTTGATATTGACAAATAAGGAAAAGTTATTACTGGATGCAAGTTCTGGGAAGGCTACAGCAGTATCTCTCTGCTCTTGGAGATTGGAATGCGGAACTCTGCTGGGAGGAACATTCTATCTCCCTGTCATAAAGAGTCTTTAGCAACCACCTGGTTCAGGTCACAGGCAGGGAGAGGAAGGACTGCAGAGTCTTTCATTCTTTCTGGTGCAGCTTAACTGATTTGAAGAAGCCGAAGAATAAAATCCAGTAGCACAGTTAAGACTTTAGCCATGGCATCTGTAACATACCAAAAGCCAACATCTACTACTGTGGGAAAACAAATGATTTTTACAGGTAAATCGTTTTTGTGTATGCGTTCACAAGGAGATCTAAATTTGCTTTTTCTCTCACATATATGATTTTATATAATGGATATAACAATGAAATGATCATATACGTTTTTGTTTGTTTCTTTTTTGGGTTTTTTTTTGAGCTAGAGTCTCGCTCTGTCTCCCAGGCTGGAGTACAGTGGTGTGATCTCAGCTCACTGCAATCTCCGCCTCCTGGGTTCAAGAGATTCTCCAGCGTCAGGTTCCTGAGTAGCTGGGATGACAGGCAGCTGCCTACATGCCCAGCTAATTTTTGTATTTTTGTAAAGATGAGGGTTTCACCATGTTGGCCAGCCTGACCTTGAACTCCTGACCTCAGGTGATCTACCCGCCTTGGCCTCCCAAAATGCTGAGATTACAGGCGTGAGCCACCGTGCCTGACCCACCGATGTTTAATTGACGTGATACTGCTGTCTCATTATGCCCACTCAGTCTGATCATCAACATCTTGTCACCATAAACACGTATTTAACACAGCACTTGTCACTACATCTGAGGTAACTTTCACAAAGGAATCTTTGAATGAGCATAGCTTTTATGGTTTGTGCCAGAGAAACTTCTTTGATGTAATAAAAAACATACTTTTCTTCAAATTTTTATTAACACTGATTTAAGCTTCTCATAATATTATAAAGTTATAAATATTATAAACTTGACATATTTGCTTGATAAAAATTTGAGCAAGATATGCATTAAGCCTAGTAAAGTTATTGGTTTTCGTTTTGTTTGTTCAACTACTTTAAATGATTTGGGTAGTATGTGTGAAATTACAATGAAATCTAAAAAGTAGAATATGACTAGTAGTGGTAAGTCTGTAAGACATAAACTAAACTTCATCTTATTTCCTTTTTTTCCAAATTATTTATTTTTTGAGACAGAGTCTCTCCCTGTTACCCAGGCTGGGGTGCAATGGCACGATCTTGGCTCTCTGCACCCTCCACCTCCCAGGTTCAAGTGATTTTCCTGCCTCAGCCTCCCGAGTAGCTAGGACTGCAGGCACACGCTGTCATGCCTGGTTGTTTATTTATTTATTTATTTATTTTGTACTTTTAGTAGAAATGGAGTTTCACCATGTTGACTAGGCTGGTCTTGAACTCCTGACATCAAGTGATCCACCCGCCTGTGTTGGGATTACAGGCGAGAACCACCGTGCCTGGCCTTATTTATTTATTTATTTTTCCAAATTGTGAGCATATTTTACAATGTTACAGAAAAATAATCAAATGTGTGTTTTTGGTGGGCATTTACGATTTGTGTTGCTCATCATCCATCTCATCCACTCCCCTTCTTGTGACTCACTGGCTCTGGGGAAACCATCTCTTTCCTCACTCTTACCCCTTTTTTACTCCTGTGAGAAGGACTTTGTCAACTAGAGTACCCTGCTTATCTGCAATTCCTTTTGCCTTTATTCTTACAAACTATTCATCTCCAAAGTTATTTAGGTCAGCACATTTTCTTTCTAGCCTCTTCAGTAAGGTTGTTTTATGCCCTTGTAATACAGTAAGATTTTCTTGTCACAGTCTGAATTCCTTCCTGAAATCCCACAATTTCCTAAATAATGTTTGTTTAATTTGCATCCATTAAGGTTTGCTTTTTATGCTATCAAGTATATGGGAGTCTTGACAAATTAATAGAACCATGTATTCACCATTATAGTACCATACATTATAGTTTCATCACTTAAAAAATCTCCTATGCTTCACCTATTCATTCCCTCCTCCCCCTTTTCCCCTAGCTCCTGGCAACCACTGATCTTTTCACTGTCTCCACAGTTTTGCCTTTTCTTGAATGTCATAGAGCTGGAGTTATACGGTATGTAGTCTTTTCAGATTGGCTTCTTTTCCTTATCAGTATCATTTTAAGGCTTCTCCACATCCTTTCATGGTTTGATAGCTTATTTCTTTTTACCACTGAATAATATTTCACTGTGCTGATGTGTCACAATTTGTTCATCCCTTCACCTATCAAAAGACATCTTGGTGGCTTCCAGTTTTTGACAATTGTGAGAAATGCTTCTGTATACATTTATGTGCAGCTTTTTGCATGGATATGTTTTCAAATCAACTGGATAAATACCTAGGAGAGTAATTGCTGGATCCTGTGTTAAGCCAAACTGTCTTCTAAACTAGCTATACTATTTTGCATTTCCATTAGCAATGAATGAGAGTCCTTGTTGCTTTGCATCCTTGTCAGCCTTTGGTATTGTCTGTTTTTTACTTTTTTACCAAAAAAAAAAGGTCATTTAGATTTTTATCCTGTGTTTTCTTTTAGACATTTTACAATGTTACATTTTCATTTAGGTCTATGATCTATCTTGATGAGATTTTTGTGCCTTTTTAAGTTTTAATTTTCATCAGCCAATAAATTTCCTCTTTTCCTTAGCCAGTTTGGGTTGGGTTTTCTGTCATTTGGAACTGTGCAAGAGTCTTCATTAATACTTCAAATTTCTTCTAACTTACGCCAGAGTATATACTTAGTTTTATGTATTTACGTAGTTCAAATTCTTGTCACCTTTGATAGATTTCTGTTTTTCATTATACTGACATATAATACTTAGCTTCATAGCCTCCTGTATTTTATAATTTCCTAATTTTTACTGTTACAAATTTGTATGAATACTTTGCATACATTATTTTTCTTGTTCTCTTATATTCTTGTGGTATATATATAGAGAGCAGAATTAGCAGGTGAAAGATACAAACAGATATATAACTTATTAATGCCACAAGCTTTAGAGGATTGTGTATACTATGAACAATGTATATGTATTAAAGCCCAACAATTTTTTTGTTTGTTTGTTTGTTTTTGAGACAGTCTCCTTCTGTTGCCCAGGCTGGAGGGCAGTGGTATGATCTCAGCTCACTGCAATCTCTCCCTCCAGGGTTCAAGTGATTCTCGTGCCTCAGCCTCCTAAGTAGCCGGAATTACAGATGTGAGCCACCATGCCCACTAATTTTTTGTATTTTTAGTAGAGATGGGGTGTCACCATGTTGGCCAGGCTGGTCTCGAACTCCTGACCTCCAGTGATCCGCCTGCCTCGGCCTCCCAAAGTGCTGGGATTACAGGTATGAGCCACCGCAACTGGCCCCCACCAATATTTTTTGAAATCGTTTTTATTTACTTTGAAGATGTAGATATGAATCCTTTTTTGCCTTTGCCTTTTACAAATTTTATTGCGACTATTTTAAAACACCCCAATGAACTCCCACTTACCTGTCACCCATATTCAACATTTATCAAAATTTTGCCACATTTGACTCACATCTCTCCTGTCTTTTTCTTGTGCAATATATTTTAAGCTCAGATATCTCATTATTTCACTTACAAATTTTATTGTGCATCTCAAAAAATATGAACTTATTCTTACATAGCCACATTGCCGTGACTGCACCTAACAAAATTAATAACTATCCTTTGGCATCATGTAATTAACAACTCCATAATAAAATTTTCCTGATTGTTTCTAAAATGTGTTTTTACAGTTGATTTTGAGAATTAAGGATCCAACACACATTGCATTCAGTTGTGTTTTCTGTTTTTGTCTCTTTTAAACTGATGCAGTCTTCCCTTTTTTCCCTGACATTTACTTGTTGCAGAAACTGGATCAGTTATGGTGCAGAGATGTCCACATTCTGAAT